TAGCTACGAGAAAAGTAGCAGCAAAGCAGCGGCTAAGCCACGGCACAGGTGCAGCACAGCACGCACGCACGTACGCGTACGCGGGGTCTCATACGAGCTCGGTGACGGCGGTTTCGGTGACTAATCAATAACAGGGAGTGGGGGTTTCGGAAGAGTGGCTCAGTGAGATGCTCGACGACGAGCTCGGGAGGTCGGGGTTGGACCGGAGCCGCGGCAAACAATGCCGGATGCCAGCGACGTACGCAACGAAGTTGTGCTCCACGCCGAGTGTACGGTGCGGCCCGACTTGATTCAATGGTCGTAGACGATGGAGATGAGGATGGGGAGGCTCCTGGTGATCTTCTCATGGCGCAGGGAGGGCAGTAACCGCGGGATCGACGAGGATGCAGTGACGGTGGCTCGGCAGTGCCTTGCGGGGAAGAAAGTGGCGCAGTGAGGAAGAACAGAGAGGGCTAGGGTTGTCCCTGGGGTTCGGGGTGATATTAACCTAGCACCAGACCGCAGGATGCACGCCACGTGAGGCATCTCGTCCGTGGGTGGCCATGGCACCTCTGCCTCCTGCCTTGTTGGGAAGTGGAAGAAAAGGCCAGCCAGGTGGGCGGGCTGGGCCTGGTACAGTTAAGTGTTGGGCTTCACACAGTAGCACTAGGCTTTAGGTGCATAGTGTGTGCTTTTCTCTTTAATCTATCTGTAATTGAAAAAGCTATTGCTTTGCAATTAATTTGGACACCATTTGATTTTTTGTTAGATGTGATATTTACCACAAAAATACTTGGCTACATTCTAGGTTGGCACAAAATAATTTGGGGCCAAAACGAGATGTTCAAATTTAGTTTTAAATTCATGTGCGTATATTTAATGCTGCAAGCCCTATTTTTAATAGGTTAAGGGCATTTTAAAAATTCAAAAGATGTTGGTTTCTACATGAAAATTACTTAGCGAATACTTGCAATATCTCAAACATTTTAGTTTTTCAGTTTGAAGAAATATTTTATTTGGCTTTATTTTAAATTTGAAAATGGCTTTGATTTTTATCAAGTGGCAATTTGGCTTAGTTAAACATGATGACATGGCACCATTAGGGTGAGGTCACTGTAGCATGACACTCGGGGTGTTACACGTATTCTCCTCACGCCCTCACACAATATGAGATGTCGTGATTCCACTATTGGTGCCCTTGGAGGCGGCGACCGAACCTTTACAAACAAGGTTGGGGTTATCTCCACAACTTAATTGGAGGCTTCCAACGATACCATAAAGTTTCACCATAATGGAATATGGCTCCGTGATGACCTCAACCGTCTAGGGTGCTCAAACACCCAAGAGTAACAAGATCCGCAAGGGATGAGTGGGGGAATTAAATTTCTCTTGGTGGAAGTGTAGATCTAGGCCTCCTCAACCAATTCATAGAGAATCAACAAGTTTGATTGGGTAGGGAGAGAGATCGGGCAAAAATAAAGCTTGGAGCAATAATGGAGCTTGGGGTTGGAAGAGATAGTCAACTCGGAGAAGAAGACACCCCTTATATAGTGGAAGAACAAATTCAACCGTTATCCACCAACTCAGCCTGCGTAGCACGGTACTACCGCGCCGGGGACGCGGTACTACCGCAGGGCCCCGCGGTACTATCGTCCGAGCAGCAGAAACCAGAACAGCCCAAATGCAATGAAGCAAAGGGCGGTAGAACCGCTGGTGTGGTACTACCGCTCCCCCTTGCGGTACTATCATAAGGCAGGGATGGTCCAAATTTTGGGAAGGCACGGACATATAAAAATATATCTGTGGTAACTTCCGCTGAGTTAGAATCTATGCAAAAATCCGACACGGTAGTACTGCAAGCCAGGAGCGGTATTACCGCGCGGGGTGCGGATGTAAAAAAATTACATCCGCTCCTACTGCCGCGCAAACTCCTGAGCCTGGCCAGAGCGCACGATACTACCGCGTAGGGCGCGGATGTAAAAAATTACATCCGCCCCTACTACCGCAATAGCAGCAGCGCCTGGCCTGAGGCTGCAGTACTACCGCTCCAAGGAAGCGGTACTATCGTGGGCACTTGCGGTACTACCGCGCCAGAGGCCGGTACTACCGCAAGGGACTGCGGTACTACCGCTCCTAGGAGCAGTACTACCGCATGCCCCCGATCAGCAAACACGATATTTTTGCATAGACAAGAAAAGACGGGGGATGCTCCAAAGTGTCAAAGGAAAGGCGGTGCAAAGGAGTAGACGTGTACGTGATGATTCCACCCAAACATTTCCAAAGCGGATCCCCTCTTAATAGTACGGCTTTCCTACGACTCAAATCCACCGAAAAGAAATATAGAGAAACGCCGTCTTCAATAGTCTTCGAGGGGCACCAAATCCTCTTGTGCCTAGTGATGAAATGTCTGAAATACTCAATGCACACGATTAGTCCATAAAAGCATTGCCATGAATCACCAAAACAACTAAGGGATAAATATGCCCTTATAACGTTGGACGTCGTGGTGGCGTCGACGGATGTACGGACTGGCAAGGATAGTGCAGATCTCTTTCTTGAAGATGGGTCAGCGGTTCGATGATGATGACGGCTTCTAAAATGTACGCATGTGATGTACGCTTTAGGTTTGTTGCACCAGCTGTAGTTTCCAATACATTATGTGGATGGTCGGCGATGATACCGATTTTAGATATGAAGAGTGAGAGCACTCAACATTATTGAGTTTGTAGACGTGAGTGATGGCTTCGGATGGCTTGATATATGTTTTTGCCAGACTTTTCTTGAATAATTAATAAAGATGGCTACATACATCAATTGATGCAGAGACAGGAGATTTTAACCTCCTTTTGCAAAAACAAATGCAAACTTTACTCCATTGCACCAAAGCACTTGAGCGACATGATTTTGAGTATGATTAGCATCTAACGATAGGTCAATATTCATTGCACAAGTGGCATGCAAACTGTTGAGTATATTGATTATTATGAAGTATATGATATATTAGGATTTGGTTCTGCCTTGTCTTGTATTTCAAGTTGGTCTTTGTATTCCTATATATATGTCCACGGGGCTCAAGCAATATAACGAACTATTTCACCAAATCTCTCTCAATATCAATGCGTGTCTTCGTCTACAATGTGTCTTCGGGCTTGGCAAACCCGCTGCGAAGCGTCGTCAACAACATCTTTTTCCCGGCGCACCACTACTTCGACACCACTGCGTCCATGACTAATTCGGCGCCTCTTTGCGCCCGCGGCTCCACGGCGACTTTCTCGACACCGGCTACCCCGACTCGACATCGACCACGGCGTTCTTCACACGGCAACCTCGACCATGGCTACACCACCTACGCTCTCGGCTACTTCGACAAACGGCACAAAGGGCTACTGTCTGCTTGAGCAACCTCGTCGGTTTTCACTCCAGCCATGAGTCCGCGATGCATCGACCGTTACGACTGTGGAGGGTGTCCGTCGGTTTGACTTCGGATTCTTCTCCAGTCTCACCGTCTGTGTCGCTACCGTTGTGACTGTAGGGGGATGTTGAGTATATTGATTATTAGGAAGTATAGGATATACTAGGATTTGGTCCTGCCTTGTCTTGTACTCTAAGTTGATCTTTGTACTCCTATATATATACCAACGGGGCTCAAGTAATAAAACGAACTATTTCACCAAATCTTTCTCTTCCTTCTAACACAAACTATACTCCATTTCTAACCCGCAAATACATCATTGAGCGACGCGAAGTGGTTAACCGACGAACATGCAATATATATGTGGCAATCAATGGCCAAGATTAGGGAGCAATCATCAGTGGCGGTGCCTACTGCCTACATGTCACTCGAGTGGATTCCACCACTTAATCTTTGCTTTGCTGATGGATTTAACCAGTGATGGCACCTAATTTCTGGGTCCCACAATAGTCCAAAGTGCTCCTTAGTTAAATAGGACACCTCATCGAACTGCTGGTCGTATGAATCTTTTGTATTGAGTTGATCTTGCACTCTTGTACTTTTGAAACTTCTGCTAGTACACTGTATATACAGATATTGATTATTAATTTTTATGTTTACATTATGTTTTCCCGGATTCTAGTTTCCTCCTAGGACCCTCGAAATCTCCAGACCGGCCATGTAACATGTTATACTCTGCCTAGTCCTCTGCTACAGAATGTACACTCTCCATTGCAACCATGATTTTATTTTATTTCTTACGATCATACTGATTTCTGTAGGATTTTATAGTATTGAAACGTTAAAACGTCCCCAACAAACAGTTCATCATTGCACCAACCACACTTGAGCGACATGATTTTGAGTATGATTGGCATCTAACGACAATATAATGCTTTGATCTAAGCATATCTACCCGGTTCCAATCTATGTGCAAACTGCTGTTGTATGAACACCAGAGCGATTATGGCAGATTGTATCCATGTGGTGCCCGAATGATTGTAACGACCTTCGCGCCTACCCGATAAAAAATGCGCCCCATGCACAAGACGTGTGTGGTCTGCCCCTGCACCAGCAGTATAAAGCCGCGCCATCTCCTGTGCTTCTTCGCACCCCACACACACCAACCGCCTTCTACTTTGCAAGCATTTCCAAGAAGCTCTAGTCCAGGGCAGCCACCATGGCACGCCGTTTCCTGGCCGTGCTCGCCGTCGTCCTGGCGCTCTCGCAGGCCGCCTCGGCCAAGCCCTGGCTCGACGATAAGTTCAACACGGACGGCACTGTCCGGACCGGTTACGACGCTTCGGGCGAGCAGGTGGTGACGCTCAGCCTCGACCAGCGCTCCGGCGCCGGCTTCAACTCCGATGAGCAATACCTCTACGGTGAGTTCAGCATCCAGATGAAGCTCATCCCGGGAAACTCCGCCGGCACCGTCTCTTGCTTCTACGTAAGTTCATGAGCTAGCTTAATTTCGACAAGGACCAAAACTAACCTCGCTCCATCCTATATAGCTGACTCAACGTTGCTGCTGTGTGTGTGGAATGTGGATATATAATTGCTTTTCCTGCAGCTTTCTTCCGGTGATGGCGACGGGCACGACGAGATCGACATGGAGTTCATGGGCAACTCCAGCGGCCCTGGCCATCCAGTGGTGCTCAACACCAACGTGTGGGTCAACGGCGACGGCAAGAAGGAGCACCAGTTCAACCTCTGGTTCGACCCCGCCGCCGACTTCCACACCTACACCATCATCTGGAACCCGGAGAACATCCTCTTCAAGGTTGACAACCTCTTCATCCGGTCCTTCAAGCGCTTCGCCGGCATCCCCTACACTAGCTCCAAACCCATGAGGCTGCACGCCACGCTCTGGGACGGCAGCTTCTGGGCGACCGAGAAGGGCAAGGTCCCCATCGACTGGTCCAACGCGCCCTTCAACGTCTTGTACCGGAACTACTACGCCAACGCCTGCGTCAGCGGCGGCGCGTGCCATGCCGGCAGCGACGGGTGGATGAACAGGCAGCTCAACGGCGCCGAGTGGGGCACCGTGAAGTGGGCGGAGCGCAGTTACATGAGCTACAACTACTGCGAGGATGGGTACAGGTTCCCGCAGGGGTTCCCCGCCGAGTGCAGCCGCTACTGATCCCTGCTCTGATGTCTGATCTAGAGGGCCGGGCATTCATCCATTGTTTGATATCTTTTTCTTCGATACAGTACTTGATTCTTGTTCTTCTTTGTGAATTTGTAATTAAAAAAGCAGCCCTGCGGCAGCGTGTGGGCGATTGTTTGTACATTTTTCCTAAAGAAAGAAGCATGTAATTTTTATTCACAAGCAGTAGTTCTATATATGACAATCTTCTTTTATTCACAAGCTAAAGTTGATGTATCTAGACGTATTTTAGTGGTAAATACATCCACTTGAGCGACAACTAATATAAGACACGGAGGAAGTACTTGTCTAGCAAATCAATCTTAGCAGTTTAAAGAATATTATAATATAGTACTGAACATGAATTGAGCTTAGTTTAGATGATTAGGTTTCTTGCGGTTGAATTCATTTTGACTTTCTGGCAATGTTCGTTTGGTGAAAGATGTTCAAAGATAGAGTTTGCATGTGTACATTTATAAAAGTGAGTGTGTGTGTGTGTGTATGTGATCATTTGTGATTATACTGTGTTAAAAAAATATAGCACTAAGCAACGCCATTGCGAAAGTATAGGCCGCACCAAAGTAAGCAGTAAAGTAGGAAAACTAGCTAAAAAATAATTCTGATTTCTTTACATACATAATCGCGTGATTTACCCGTGTGTCAATCTTTCTGAAGAAACGACGTCCATGGTGTTATGGACAGAAAAGACAAAATCAATGTTGGAAAAAGGTTTTTTGAAGCTTTTTGGAAGTCTGATTTTGCTTTTCAAGCCTAAGACAGTGCATATATGTCATTTTGCCATGAAATTTTACACATTGTAGAAAACACTCAGCTATGTTAATCCCAAGCAGGATTGCGAAATCTCAAGACTTAACGAAGTCTCAGTCGATATATCCATGAGATCTTATATGAAGATCCGTGTAAAAAACTATTTTTTTTCTTTTTTATATGTTGTGCCACTTGACCGAGACATGGTTAAGCCCTCAGTCTACTGAGATCTAGCCACATCAAATTATTTTTCTGTCATTTTTTAGATTTTTACAGTTCATTCCGGTGCGTGTGCCACCGTAGCATTTCCAGGCACAACACTCTTTCTGTTACTGCATACCGCAATGCATCGGTGCTGCACAGCCAGCATGCTAGATATACGGACACGTACGTACGTTTGCTTGTCCAAGAAGAGAACAGCTAGCACGCTGTATCATGCATGCATTGCATGCATACGCTACATCTTTATACCCGACCGTGCCAACCCCAATAATGACTTACTTCCGCTGGTGGCATATATATCTAGTAACCTTTTCCGGCACCGCAAATTGTATGATCGGTCTATATATACACTTTTACGCTGTCTCGCCCACTAAAGATAACGTTAAAGGAAGCCCCACGCACCAACGTACGTGGGCTTTTTATCCCAACTGAGGCGCCCTGATCGGGGGCACCCAAACCAACTGATGGTTTAGGTCCCCTGTCGCCAGCGCTACATAAAAGGGAACGGGAAAGGGTTGGCAGTCTGCGCGATCACAATTCACGTACGGTTTCACTTTCCTCCCGATATTCTCTTACCCCATCCGATCAGGGGGAGCGCTGCAGCGACGGGAAGACCTACTCCAGCCGCCGCTGCCGTCGCCGGGCAGTGCCGGTGGCGTCCTGAGGGCATCAGGACGTTGAGGAGGACTTCTACCTCGACTACATCACCTCTGCATCAAGCCTGCACCAAGCAGGCGATCATGTCCACTGCCGTGACACATAATGATTCCCTAAACCTTTTCTCTGCTCATGTTTTAGGTGTTCTAGATGCAATCTGTTCCTGCTAATAGCATCCCAGAGATGCATAATTATTCCAACAATGGTATCAGTCGCCAGATATGATTGCTTTTAGATCCCTATATCATGTTCAGTAAACCAATCTCAAGTTTAGGCCCTCTGTATATCAAGTTTGATTGCTACTGTTTTTTGATGTTGATGTCAATTGCCCACTGTTGATGATGTTTTAATTCCAATTTGCTACGGATCAGTAGTGCCACCTAAGTTCATCAATTCTAATTAATCTAAGTTAAGATCTAATGCTCACCTTCATGTTAAGTTGATTAGTATTGATCATGTTTAAGTCTTGTTTCCGTATGCATTATCAACATAGAAGGCAGAGGGATACACGCACGTCAACAGTAGCAACCCCTCATGTGTAAGAACCCTAGATTTTTTTTCCCCAAATTCGTAAGAACCCTAATTCTGCAATTAGGAATGTTTTCCCCCAAATCAAGCACTGATGTACACGATTTGAAAAGAATGAGGAGAATCCTCACCTAACGCGCCGCGTACTCGCCTCTTCTCTTCGGGGCCCGCGCAGCGCCCACCGTTGCGCGAGGGCGAAGACGCCGCGACGCCGCCGTCCTCGGGACGACGCGCGGAACAAAGTGGCGCCGCCGCCGCTGCCACTCAAATGGACGCGCCCTTGTTTGGCCGACGTCGAGCAAGTCGCCGTCGTTCCTCATGCCGCGGTGGCCGGCGTCCCTCCACCCTCCTTGATGCGCCATGTGCCCGGACGCTGGGGCCACGCTCGACGGGGGAGCGCGCGGGATTCATCCTGTTGCACGCTCCTCCGGCGAGCGCAGCCGCCGCGCCGCCATGGCCGGCGCGCCTCGAGCCGCCGTCGAACGCCATCGCCGCTCCCTGTCGAGCGTGAAATGCGGGGGGTCGAGGGGGAAATGAGCTAGGGTTCTGGCCGGGCGGCTGTTCTGTTCCAGCCGCGATCGACGCGGACCGTCGATTCCAATCGGACGGCCGGCAGCATCGCTCGGCTCCGCGCTGGGCCGGCGGACGCCAATGGGCCAATTCCGGCTGTGGGCTGCGGCCCAGGTTATGTCAGTCCAGCGAAAACACACAAAAAAAAAATTCTGGGCTGGGCCGTTTTACGTGTAGCTGTGGGGTATTTCGGGCCAAAATCACTGTCGCGATTTTCTGTTTTTCCAGTGCGCTTAAGTTAATAAATATTATGATTTGCACTGCTTAAACCAGAAAATGCGTAAAAATGTAATAAACACATTATTATTCTGGGTAAAATTGAACCAACGAGATATTTTATTCAGGATTTATTATGTGTTTTTGGATGATGAAGTTTTTTTTTAGACATCAAATAATGATAATGTTTTTTTTATGTTGATGTTTAAATTAAGAATGAAATGACTCTAATTTTAATTCGGACCAACGTTGTTTTATTATTATGAGTCATCCCCTATGATATTTTAAATCCATGTTTTTTCTGCCCAACGGTATTTTGACATGGAGTTGAAATTAAATACTTGGCATGTTTGTTTATTTACCAACGTAAATTTATAATCATGCAACTTTACTTATGAACTTTTATGATGATTTCAGCTTCCGCTCCATTCCGGTCCGACACGATCGAACCACTTACGGGGAGTAACTTCCCTCGTTGGAAGTCCCAAGTCGAATTATGTTTGGGTTGTAATGAATTTGACTATGCCTTGAGGGAAGAAAAACCTGTGGCACCTGTGGCGGGTGTCACAGGGTATGTAGAACTCAAGAAGGAGTATGATGTTAAAATGGAAAAGTGGAATAAGTCCAACCATATTGCGCTTCTCATCATGAAAGCGACAATATCGCCGGACATTTCTGAAGCACTCCCTAAGAAAGATACTGCTAAAGATTTCCTCACTGAAATGGAGGAGCAATTTAAAGGCTCCGACAAAGTGTATGCTCATGAGCTTTTTGCTAAACTTCTTCAGAAATACACTATTGACGGAAATGTTAGGCAGCACATATTGAGGGTGGTAAATGCTTTCACCAAGCTTAAGGCTTTGGAGTGTTCTTTAAGTGAAGCCCTTCTTGTCATAATTATTCTTGAGTCTCTTCCTGAAGAGTTTGAACAATTTAAGGTCAACTATAACTCTCTAAAGGAAAAATGGCCACTCTCTGAGATGACCGCAAGGATCGTCCAGGAGGAAGAAAGGATCATGAGGCAGAAAAAAGACCATGTCTTTCATGTTGGCTCTAACAAGAGAAAGCATGACGGACAAGGTTTCCCTAAGCCTCAGAAAAGGCAAGTCAAGAAAGAAGGCACTAAGCCATTCAACCCTAAGGCATTCAAGGGTAAAGAAGCCGGTGGTTCTTCTTCTGCTCCTAGCAGCTCCACTGCTGGAGAAAATGCTTGTAACTTCTGCAAAGAAGAGGGACACTATCAAAGGGACTGCCCAGGCTTTCTAAAATGGATGAACAAAAGAGGTATTGATGAAATTACTTTTGTAGATGAATCACTTTATGTTGATTTTTCAATAAAGTCATGGTGGATTGATTCAGGGGCAACCACTCACGTTGCTAACTCTATGCAGGGATTCGATACGATCCAAACCATAAGAGGAGGAACAAGAAAGCTTAAGGTTGCGAACGGAGTTGAGGCCGATGTTGAAGCTGTGGGATCTCTCACGTTGGAGCTACACACTGGCCACACTCTTAGATTGAATAATGTTATTTATGTTCCTACCTTAAGTAGGAATTTGATTTCAGTTTCTCGTTTAGATGATGATATGTATGAGTGCCATTTTGGCAAGAAACAATTTGCTTTGATCAAATGTAATAAGAATGTAGGCATCGGTGTTAGACGAGGCCAACTATACATGTTATCTCTTCATAATGATTCAGTTATGCATGTGAGTGATGAAATTAATGTTGAGAAGAAATGGAAAGGAGTAAGTAATTCTTCGAAATTGTGGCATTGTCGTTTGGGCCACATTTCGAGGGGGAGAATGGAACGCTTAGTTAAAAATGAAATACTCCTCCCATTAGACTTCTCAGATGCAGACAAATGTGTCGACTGCATTAAGAAAATTTGCAAAAACAATTAAGAAAGGAGCAGTTAGAGCCACAAGGGTTTTAGAATTAATTCACACCGACATATGTGGACCCCTTAATATTAAGTCTGTAGATGGTTTTGATTCGTTCATTACATTCACAGATGACTTTTCCCGCTATGG